GGGGGGAGCACGGCGGTTGCTGCTGTGGGGGCGAAGCTCGCACATAGATCCGGGAGCTGCTCCTCTGTCCCCGGTTCTGGTATCAGGGACGTTACCGTGTCGCTGGTGCTCGTGCCCCTGCCAGCCTCTGCATTTTTTCTTGGAATACTCCAATACTTGGAGTACTGTGCAATTTCAAAAAAACTTTTTTGTCTTTTATATTACTTGATTTCTTGCAATTTTTTGTTTAAAGGGCTTTCTTAGCATAAGACATGGCTATGGGTATTGTGGCACAGACAGATCTGGCCTTGGTTTGCCCGTGCTCTGAGGAATTAAATCTGTGCCATCTTAAATTCCTAGTTTGAATTTGTTGAAAATAAGTGTATTTTCTGTCCCAGAAACTCTTATTTAATACTAAACTAGATTATTTAAAAACTAAAGTATCATAACGGATACCACTTCATACAGCATTGATGCCCATTTCAGAACACTGATCTGGTAAACTAACTTATAAAGCATGGCCACTATCAAGTCCTAAACAAGATCCCTGCGTAGCTGATAAGGAATTAGAATTTGTTTCTTCCCCCTTTGTTGATGTCAAGCATATAGTTCTAGACTTCCCTTTTCCTTTTGGAGGGAAGGCAGTATGAACTGTGAATAATATACATATGTCATAATAAATGGTGTCTACATAGCTATCTGTAGAGCTTAAATTTTATACAAGGAAGAAAATATATATTTAAATGAGCTGAGCAAAGTAGGAAAAGGTATAGTGTAACATTTGTTTTGCCAGGAGGCATTCTGTTTCTATTATAAGGGAACAGACATAACTTTATTTTAAGAACTTAAATCATAACTTCTGGTATTACAAACAAAACCTAGTAAATTAAGGATGTTAGTTATGAATTGTAAATGTTGAAATACAAGCAGCTGGAATTTGCTATTGCATAATTTTGTGAATACAGAAACAGGTTGTATCTTGGAGTGAATTTTCTTTTTGTACTTTCAGTAGCAACCTGGAATACAATGGCAAACGTGTTGCTTCTTCCTTAGTGTTCAGCTTGATTTCTGTAGGACAGATAGGCCCAAGGTGGCCCAGTGGGTTAGTTACTGATTAACTATTTTCCCAACATGGTCAGCACTTTGAGTTTCAGACATCGATGACTTAAGAATTTGCATTCATCTCTGATAACAAGTTGGGCATGATCACAACCCTCCTCTGGTTGAAGGAGGGGCTGGCTTGCATGTTCTGTAAACATAACTAGAAAAGAGGTGGGGCAAAGAAATAAAACTACAAGTTGTTACACTGAAATGTGGATTTTTATAGCTGAAACAACTGTGCAGTAACCTCTGATAAGCATTAAAAAAGTCGTCGTATGTGAGCATCAATAGTAATGACTGGAGAAATTGCTTGTTTTCTATATATGAGAGTTACTCTGATGTGTTGCTATAAGGCAATAGAGTTATAACAGTTTCTTAAATATGAATGTTAAATATGAACGTTCAGAACAGTTTTCTGGACTGCTCTGTTGAGTTTAATCCTCCGTGAAACAGCAATCTCAAGTGCCTCAGATGAAGAAAAAACTTATTTTAAAAAGAAGTTATTTCAAATGTGTTGAATCGATTTTTCAGAGAAACGGGATTTAGTCAACTTGAAAAGGTAAGGTGAGATTCCAGAGCAGTCTGTTTAATATCCTTGCTGATTTGGGGGCCTTATAGGAAAACTGACTCCTTATAAAATAAAAAGTGCAAAATTTACTGCAGTGAACCTTTCTGTTCTTTCACAGTAATCCAGGGTGTTACCTGTAACTAGAATCAGCACAGGCTCAGATACCTAGAGATGACGGTGCTTTTCCTGACAATACCTCTTATCTGTCTTATCGGGAAGATTTTGGGGTTTTTGTTTTTAGTACCCTTCTGTTTGTACTTTGTTGAAGATGTGCTTTTCTGGAATATGTAGTTGGTAATCCTATCAACTTCTGAATAACATTAATTGAATTTTGTATTTTAGGGTAAAATCTTTGGAATATCTTTTCATGCGTTGCCACAATCACTCGTGCCAGAATATGGTTATGTTCCCAGGTAAATTCATACCATATATTTAGATTTATGCATGCCTTGCTCTTTTTATAGTATTGAACTCTTGTCAGAAGAGGGAACATAATATTTATTACGGAGTCGTTAAAGCTTATGGAGGATATAATAGTTTTAGTTGGGAAAGGAGGGATGCAGAAGTTAAAAGGAGAATTCAGAGCCATAACTATACTTCAGTTGTATTTCCTTGTATTTTTTGTCATTGGGGAAAACTCTGCTATAGACAAAGTTTTATCTATTTATCATGAAATAGTTTTTCTGGAAAAAACAAGCTTTATTCTGAGCACCATAAGTATGTTACTGTTTTTTCCTCAGCTTTCTTGTTGATACTTGTGAATATTTGGAAGAACATGCTCATACTGAGGGGCTTTTCAGAAAGTCTGGATCTCTTGTTCGTTTAAAAGCTTTAAAGGTATTTTTAAAAGCCTCTCCTTCTTTGTATGTTTTTTTAATAAGCCGCATAACATTTGATCATGTGTGTGTAGATTTTGGACTCTTTTACATCATATTCGAGTTTTAATATTGGAAGTAGACTGGTGACATTACCTGCTTTAAAAATGAGAGGATATCTAGTCCAGAAACTGGTGAACTTCACTTCCTCTCCCTCCCCCCCGGCCTCCCATCCCGCCCCTTGGAATTTTTTCAGCTTTCCGGATGATGAGTATACGCTTGTGACTGAACAAACTTAGCAGTTATGCATGCTGGATACTGTGAGGACATTTGTTTAGCAATGTTCTCCCAGAAGAACATGGGAAAACTGTAAATTAACACGCATGGTCTGACGGCATCAGAGAATCACAGAATGGTTTGGGTTGGAAGGGACCTTAAAGCTCATCCAGTCCAACCCCTGCCATGGGCAGGGACACCTCCCACCAGACCAGGTTGCTCAAAGTCCCATCCAACCTGGCCTTGAACACTTAACAGGGCATCCACAGTGTCCCTGGGCAACCTGTGCCAGTGTCTCACCACCCTCACAGTGAAGAATTTCTTCCTAATATCCAGTCTAAATCTACCCTCTTCCAGTTTAAAACCATTTCCCCTTGTCCTTGGGCAATTCAGGTCCATAGCTTCCTGTGCTTGTAAAAAGTCCTTCCTCAGCTTTCCTGTAGAACCCCTTCAGAAACTGGAAGGCCGCAATAAGGTCTCCTCGGAGCCTTCTCCAACTCTCTGTCTGTCATCGTAAGGGAGTCTGTCATCCAGCCCATCATGTGTGCCTCTCTGTAGTTAGGTTAAACATGACAAGGCTGAAACAAAATATGGAAAATGTGACTCTTTTCTGATACAAGTTACAGGATTAATGTCTAAAATGGGAACCTGATGGTATGTTGAAAACTTCATGTTTCTTATGGACAATTTCAGAGTAAACTGGATCAAGGTGAAAACTGCCTCTCGGCTGCTCTGCCATGTGATGTTGCAGGGCTTCTTAAACAGTTCTTTAGAGAGCTGCCAGAACCCATCCTCCCACCTCACCTGCAGGAAGGCCTTCTCAAAGCTCAGCAGCTAGGAAATGAGAAGAAAACTGCAACTGTGTTGCTGTCGTGTTTGATGGCCGACAGAACAATTGAAGCTTTGAGATACTTTTTCAACTTTCTGAGAACTGTGTCCCTAAGGTCAGTGCAAAGAAGGTGCTTGCAAACAGCTCCCAGTTCCTTTAATAACTTCTCTTTCCAGGCAGCTGCTGTAACTTTCTGTGAGTAGTTTATCTGCAGTCATTCACTTGAATACAGTCATGATCTTTTCTTTCATAAATCCAAAGTGTTTTCTTTGTGAAACCTTATTTTGCTGAAGAGGTGGCTTTGTTCCATTCTTTCCTAGCTGTATTTCTCATTCTTCTCTGGAAAGTGCAAGAAGTGACTGACAAACTAAACATAATCTAACTGATACTTTGAATTCCCCAAAACTGATCAAGGTCTATAGTATCTGATTTCAATAACAGTCATGCAGTTATGTACCCTAAGGTGCTTAAGTCTACACGTTAATCTCAGTATGTGAGCACTGAAGTTAATGACTACATTTTTTTTGTAACTGCATTTGTCTTATTTGATCTTTTTTCTCTCCACTGCTTGTGTCCTGATAATTTGTGTTTAAAAAAAACAAACAACAAAACAAAACCAAACAAACAAAACCAAACAAAAAACCACCACCAAAGCCCTTCTTTTCTTGTTAAGATCCAGTGAAAACAGAATGGATAGCAGTAATCTGGCAGTGATCTTTGCTCCCAACCTCTTGCACTCAAACGAAAATGACAAGATGTCAGCCACTACAGAAAAAAAGATTCGATTGCAAGCTGCTGTTGTGCAAACCCTTATCGACCATGCAGCAGAAATCGGTAAGGTGATAAATGTTTATCAAAATGTCTTGTTGCGCTTACTTGTATACAGTTTTTCAACTTTAAAAATAATATTTTAAAAAATGTTTTTCAACTAATTCAGGACAAGTGCCAGGATTTATCTTGGAAAAGATTCCTGCAATGTTAGGTGTTGATACCTTTCAATCTACTCCCTCACTGTGGGGCCATGAAGACAGTGAAAACGAATCGCCCACTGAAAGTAAGAAGAGGAGGCACCGAAGTGTTGGGGGTAGGTATGTTGTGTGAAAGTTTTAGCAACCAAAATAATTCTCTTTTGAGACTTCAGTTATGCTGATCCCAAACACTTGCTGCTTCCACAAGCAGAATAGGTGCCTGTGAAATTTGTTGGGCTTGATTTGTGAAACCTATGTAAGACTTCAGTAATCATACCACTCTGAGTGGCTATTCTAGTGTGTGGCTATTTCACTTGTGTTCAGATTTGTGAAGCCAGGTTTATGTCTTCAGCTTTTTGTTGAGTCAACTTCAGATCCTGTTGCAGAACACTGATAGAGCATGTGGTGGGCTTTTTCCTTCTTTTTTTTTGCTAGTTTTGAAATAATACTTGGACACTTGAAGATATTGCATGCCTTAAGTCAGGCCTTGAGAAGGGAAGGACATAATAGCATGTATGTTTTTAACTAGAGTAACTTTTGTGTTTTGAAGTATAACTCTGGATTGTGTATTACTGGATACTCTGCTCTGATATCATGGATCTGTTTTGGGTTTTTTTGCACTTTAGCTATTCAGTAAGGGTAGAGTTGGGGGTTTTTTTGCCAAATATGGACAGTCAAGTGGTATATTCTCCGTTCTGCATCCTCTTTGAGGAAATACCCTGGAACATGTGTGCTTGACTTGGCTCATATCCATCATAACACTGATTTTTTTTTTTTTTAATGCATTGCTATAAACATATGAGTTATATTTACATTAGCTAGCCAGGTACATTTAGCTCATGTACCTGGAATATTAAATCTGACAACAACTGAACTTAAAGGGTTTATTATTATTTATATTTAGCCAAGGCATAGGGTTGTTTGGGGGTTTTTTTGTGTAATATACCTTTTCACTCTGAGGAAGAGAGATCATCCTGGAGTTGCAAAGTGATAAATGTTTGTGAATGTTAAAACTTTGAAGAGAAGCAGTTAGAATTTGTTCATTTGTTGAATAGGTTCTGTTAGCAGGCAGCTTCTAATTTCTCCAGATGTAGTAAAACATAGTGTTATACGCTTTTTGTTTTCAAAGATGTTATTAAAAACTACCAGACATCATAAAAGAAGTACCACAGGCTTGTAGTTTGCAAAGCTTTGCTATGAACACATGAAAGTACAATTGTAGGTTGTAATAGCACTTAATAAAAACTCTTCCATTTTACACTTCTAAAAGCAGGAAAAAAAACTGTAAAACTTTATGCATGTATTCTGCTGGGTTTAATTTTGCCATTAATAAAAAAAACAACAACAAAACAACAGAACACCCCAAAACAAAACAACATAGTTCACAGAGAATTTGTGCATTATTTCTTTTGCAAAATCAAAATTTCATACTTCTGTTTTGGCTTAATTTCAAAGCTGTAAGAGCTTTTCAGCTTCAAGACAACTCAGTAAAGTGAGAAAGCCTGAGACTTTCTATGAGAGTCTTCAACGGACGCCTTGGCTTACCTACAAGAAATCAGAGGGCATATAATTTTATAATGACTTGGAGAATGTTCTACAAGGAACTTCTGTTGTCTGTGCATAATTTTTGTTTTTAAAGGAAAACAGACTTAATTTTTTTTCAAGCTATTGTGAAAGCAACAAAAACTGCATTGGTGAAAAGATCTGGGTTATAGTTTTATTTACATATAACAACTATTTTGAACTGATTTGCTTTATTTCTGTTTGAAAGAACACGAGTTAAACTTGAGTTGAAAATAAAGCAAGACAAACTTGATATTTAAATTTGATTGCTCGGTGTGTCTTGCATTTCAGATATTGTTAGTGGAGCATTGAATAAATTTAAATCTAACAGAACACCCTCCACTACACCTCAGCAAGACAGAAGCGGTAGGTATTGGTGTATTTGTACTAAATGAAGCCCATGCAGTATCTTCTGGATTTGTCAACTGTATTCCACAATTTTTTTAACCGAAGAACTAGAGCTTGGTTGAAGATAAGTGATTACGTTTAAATTGTTCAGAACTTCGAATATAGATACTTATTTATTGAGGATACTGCATTTACTGTAGTTCCTGAAGCAGCTACAATCTCTGCAGCAGTGGGCTTTGCGGTTCAAGGATTACACAGCTGAACTTGAGCTTTTTATCTAATGCCTGCTAAGGCTTCAGTGCAGTACTGCTGCGTTTTATCATCTTGGGAATTAATTTGCCAGGGCTGAAATTCTTCACTCTTACTCTGTGTCTTAAGCTTACAGTAGATGACTATACTTCACTCCCGCTCCCCTCCCAATATTTATATTTTATTAATGCAGGGTTTTGAATTTTCCTTTCTGGTACTCTGACTTGCAAAAAAACCAGCAAAATAAAAACCAAACCCTAAGCTGTACTGGTTGCTTTGCATGTTCAAAATGCATGCACTTTGGCTAAGCTTTTATAACAATTTTATTTCAGAGTTTAAAAAAAAAATACTAAAATATAAACAATTTTTTTAAACTTTCAACCTCTGTTATTGCAAACTTGGTTTTCTTCATTTCAGTCCTTTCGTCGATGACTCCAGTGGTTCTTACTCCAAGTACCAAGCGTAAACTTTCAACTGATTGCTCTCAGGGCTTGTCCAGCAAGAAGAGACGATCTTTTAAGCATAGTTTTGCTTTTGAGTTGTTACCAAGTAGCATCTTTAACATCAACTCAACACCAGCATCAGGTACAGTACCTTCATTTTTACCTTGCTCCTTGAAGTGGTTGTTTATGGCTTTTGATTTAAACATACAGTGTTTTGGTTTAGTTAGGCAGTCATTGATAATCTTTAGCTAGCAGTGTTCTTTGCACTAGTTTCCCATCTTAGTCTATGTTCATTAGTGACTGTTGTGTTAAATGGATTGAGCAAAAGCAAAATTCTGTTTGTTTTCTGTTATATTAACTTCAGATCTACAATTCTGGTGTCCTCGTATCTCTTCCAGTCCCTCTGTATCACCTAGCTTATACTCACATTTGACTGCATCCAACCTTTTGAAAGTTGTAGCCGTGTTCTGTCCCCTAAATACTTAAATAGCTGGTCTTAGCTTTATGTGAAATGTAATTGTTGCTAATACAAAGGTTCTTTCTTGCATCCAATCACCTCTTCTTTTCTCTAGAAGCTAAATAATCTCAAAATTCTATAGAAAAAGTTTTACTTGTTTGTCAATGCTTTAATACCACTTCATTCTACTGAAGTGTTTCCAACTGTGAGGCTCTTCTGCAAATCGTGTTGGGTTTTTGTTGTTTGGTTCCTTAATGTGCTGCCAACTGAACTTAGATTAAAAATAAATTTCTACATTGGCTATGTTTGTTTTGCCTGAAAATATTTTTTTTTCTCAGTTGTGTGGTATAGAACTTCTTGCTTTAAATTAAATCTTTATTATTATTATTATTATTATTATTATTATTATTATTATTATTATTATTATTATTAAATCTTTTCATACTCACCATGAAATTGTTGTTTCAATGTATGGATAAGCAAACCAAAGCAATGCCATTCTCTAAAGACAGTAGTAATGCATCTGCTTCATTAAAAAGTGAAGTAGCAGAGTAGCAACTATTTCATCTATTGTTGCCTTAACTGTTCTGGCTGCGAATGTAAAAAAAGACATTGCAAATAATTAAGTTTGAATCTAATTCTTATTAAGCTCTTAAATTTGAGGAACTGATCTGATGATAGTAGTGTGGAAACTTCTTGTAGTGATATCAATAGCATGCAGTTAATTGCAATCCAGCTGCTTCTATGGATGCTACCAGCAACAGCTTCATTTAATATTAAATAAAAATGGAAGTCAAAGTAATTTCAAGATGGCACTCCACAAAGTAAGCAAAAAAAATCTGTGCTGTTCAAAAACCAGTTCTTTATTGTATTAACTGTTACGTCTTTCTTTGAAAAAGTGCCTATTTTAAGATTGTGTAAATGTGATTTTGTTTCTGTAGTTCAGTTTGAAGCAAGCCCTTGTGTGTCTCTTGAGTCATCACAAACCTCACTGTCTCCTTCAACTGGTGGTGAAAATTATCTGTCTAGTACAGGGAACAGAAGAAGTAAAAGACATGCAAGCAAAAAATTATACAGGTAATTTGCCTTAACTCTCAAAACCAAAAGAAAAATCAGAAACTTAGATCTGATGATGTGTGAAATCTCAGTCTGTCTTTAAAACTACCTTTTTTGGTGTTCAAAACATACCGAATTTTTATAGTAATCATAAATCACCAGATCTTCCAATGTAGCAAAATGGAGCTCAAAACAAAATAAGATCTGGTGTAATAGCCACCTGTGTCTGTTAAAAAAGCTTCTCAGGAAGGTAATAGAATAAGTAAAACTAGAGGAAATAACAATAAATAATTGCCAGGATGTTTTCATTGCTCTCCTAAAGAATTTTTTGTGTGGCTGTTTTTCCTTCTGTCCCCTCAGGGCTGAATCAGGAAAGACAGGTTGTTTTTCTCCAAAGATTAGCCGAAAAGAAATGGTTCGTAGGTCGTTGCGCTTGAAGTTTGGTTTGGGGAAAAGCAACAGAGAACTGGTAAGTATTCTACTTCTAACCCAGTCTTCTTCTTACAGTGCAAACTTAGAATTAAAGTTTTGGGTGCTGCTTTTCAGTAGCAGGAAGTAATTACTTGATAATAGAGGGAACGCATCATAACTGGACCTGCTATCAAGTACAAGAAGCCCTAGATTTACTTTCACAGAATCAGAATCACAGAATCGCTCGGTTGGAAAAGACCTCTGAGATCATCATGTCCAACTGTTCCTGTCTACCCACTAAACCATATCCTTAAGTACCTCATCTACCCGCTCTTTAAATACATCCTTAAATACAGTTTCCTAGCAGTAACTGATCAGCTTGTACTGTGTTTGGCTGGGATGGGGCAAGAGGCTTTAGGGAAGGGACAGCTGGGGCAGCTCACCTGAATTGCCCAGGGAACTATCCCAGCCCTATAATGTCATGCTCACCAATAAAACTGCGATGGGGGCAGTTTTTTCAAAGTAGCCACTGCTCGGGGACTGGCAGGACACTGGTCTACTTGTGAGTGATTGTTTTTGCATCACTTGTGGGATTGGTTGGGTTTTTTGGTTTTGGGGTTTTTTTGGGGGGTGGTTGCTGTTGTTTTGTTGTGGATTTTTTTGTTCCCCCCTTGTCCCCTTCCTTTTGCCTTTCCAGTTCTCTCCCTCATCCTGCTGGGGAGTGGGGGGAGTGAGCAAGCAGCTGGATGGGAGCTTGCCTGCCAGTTGAGGTCAACCTACCACACTCGAGATCAGTAGGTCTCACAGTTCCTGAAATCCTGACATTACAGAGCCTGTGCACAGAATCATTATGCTCAGAGTGTGGCTAAGCCTACCTGACCTTACTGCAGGTGGGTTGTTACCTACCTAGGTCTGCAGTGAAGTGAGGAAAGATGAAGTATGGCCAAGAAAAGGCTGCTGTGGCTGATTTGCATAGCCTCTTCCTGGAGGCTCTTCTGTAAAAGAGATTCTAAATTACAGGTTTATATAAAAGTAATTAACACCTTTTGTTTGTTCAAGAATATTGTGTCAGGATGTGCGGCTGGTCATAGATTTGAAAATATTGGAAGGCGTCTTGCAAGTCAACAAGGCTTGGAAAGCAGAACTGAACATGCAAAGAGAGATGTACTCTTCAGCCCATGTGTCAGTGAGAAATTACCTAAAAAAGGTGAGTATCTAACGGAATATATTAGATGGAGGGCAAAAAATGGCTTTTGTAAAGTGGCTCCTGGGGAAAAAGAATTGGTTTAGGACAAGCTTGATGTGTTTTTAGTGTATTTTAGTAGTTCTTTTTTGTTAGTTAAGCAAGACGAGAGACATGATTTCAGTTCTTTATAAGGTTTTTTTTTTCACATCTCTGAAACTTAAGAGAGTAATGGTATCTTTAAATTCAGTGCTGCTTTGGTAATTAGTGGGGGTTTTAGCAATAATGTTGATCATTAAAACTGCTAGATGTTGTTCTTAAACACTGGTATTTATTTTAAGGTTCGAAGAATGTGAGCAAGTCAGAAGAAAACTTGCTGACTCCAAAATGCCACGATAAAGTAGATCACCGAATGTCATGGAATAGTCTTGCTGTTACAGATTCTCAGGCGATTGGCAGGAATGAGGGAATTCTGCCAGGACACCCTGAAATGGGTATCGGTTCTTCAGAACCTATTTTGGTATTTGGAAAGCCACCAGTTATTCCAGATGAATTCAAATCCACAACAGTAAGCAAACAAGACAACAGCTTAGAACTTTTTATTTTTGAAGAGGAAAGTAATTCAACTGCAGAAACATTACTGAAAGTTAAGCAAGCCTTTTCTGCATCCGGGACTAATCCTCCCAATTTCATAGGTGATACAAAATCTTCCTTCGCAGATGTAGCAGGTGAAACGTCAAATGAAACTTGGTGTCTCCCAGGGCTCAGTCCAGAGAAAGAATTGTTAGCTGAAGAAGCTTCTGAAAATCTAGCAAACACAAAATCCAGAGAGCTGTTGCACCAATTTAATCCATCTTATTATACTGATAAACAGCAATCAAAAAAAGATGAAATGAAAGTTTTGGGGAAAAGAAACTTCAAAACTTCTATTGAGATTGAACTTCAGGTCCCGAAACCAGATGTCAAAAATGTAACAGAACTTCCGGTGCCTCGAGTGCTGGCCAGGGAAGACAAGTTGACTGTTCGGAACAGTTCATCAGAAGATTACTTAAGCAAATTAGATTCCCTTCAAAGAAAAAAGGCAATAGAGTTATCACACTCACAAACAACTGAAAACCGTACGGTGAAATGTTGTAAATTGGAAGAAGATACTGCTGAAGTTCCTGTGGCAGGACAGCTTCCTACTTCGCAGTTGCCTACATCACAAAATGAAGTAGTCAACCAACAATTGCAAGTTGAAAACTCTGATAAAACTAAAACATCAGCTGTTTCTGACCATGGAAAGGTTTCTGACCACATACAATGGTTCAACAAGCTTTCATTAAATGATCCAGGTTCTACAGGCAAAACTAAACCACCTCTTAAGTTCCAGCGTACTCCTGTTAGACAGTCTGTAAGAAGGATTAATTCCTTGTTGGAGGCTAACAGACGATCTGTAAGCTCTCAGCTGCTCAAAGCAAGTGATATTGGTTCACCACTTGTTAAGTCTTTGAGCTGTGATTCTGCACTATTCTCCTGCACAGAAAACCCCTCACAGAATTCCATGGCTTTGCTGCTCAGGAGTGAGAGTACAGATGACCAAGCTTCTGTATCTCTTAAGCAGCTAGACTTAACATCCGGATCCTGCTGCAGGCGCTTGAATCCGTCAGACAAGCCTGATGTTTCTGTCAGAACTGCCGGAATCCACCAACAGAAAGCGACTGTTCATCCATCAAAGTCTGTTCTAGAAGATCTGACCAATCACGAAATGGTGAAATCCAGTTCAAAGGTGTGTGCAAATGTAAATGTTCCAGGTGATGCCCCAGAAAAATTTACAGTCGCAAGAAGTGCTTCAGGAAAAGAGAGAATTCGTTATAGAGGCTCTCCAAAGAATCCAATATCTAAAGTGAGACTGCTACCAGCTGCAAAACCAGTAGACTTATAAGGTCAAACACGATGGCTAAATGGGTTTATGGTAACTTGGTTAACCTTTGGAAAATCTAAATTTGTATGATTATTTTTTTAGCTCTAATTATTTGTAGGCTTTGGTTGATTTAATTTTTAACTGCATGAGTCGTGATCTTGCACAAATAACATGTTGAGATTTTCTTCGTTTACTCAATCTTGACTTTAAAACAAAAGAAACCCCTCTTTTTATAAATGTTTGTGTTTAGATATCGTATTTTATTATCTCAGCTTCTAAAAATATGCTGCATCTCCCAAAACAGTTTTGCAGTATTTAGACAAAGTAGCAAGTTCTTAAAAAAACAAATCTCAGATGCTTAGAGCAAAACTATCAGCATCAAGACACGTTTCTTTCCCATGTCTGAGTATTAGTAGTTAAATTTAACTCCTTCTTAGTTTTACGTGTATTGCATCACCACTGTGATATTGGAAGTTGGACCTTACACCAGTTCTGCTGCTTTTTGGGCAATGGTTTATATTTCTGTTGAAGTAAATTTGGAGCATATTTTCCTTGTTGAGTATTTTTTTGGATGTGTACGTACACACTGTAGAATTATTAGGACACATGGAAAATAAATGTGCAGCTTATTCAAGAAGTGAAAAGTCTTAAAACTTCATCTGGCGATGTGTTCTGCAATAGGTACCAAGGATTTCCAGTTGTGAGCAGTAAAATGTTGTGTCTTAATGTGAAAGGATGGGTTTAACTTATTTTTAGAGCAATAGAATAGTGTTAAGTAGATGGTGCAGGAGCAAGTTTTAGATTATGATAATGTTGCAAGAGATGAATGTAAGAAGCCATAGTGTGTGAAAGGTTGATTTGCACAAGCAAATGTTTACATCTTTTGGAGTGAAAACTGTTTGTCATCAGTTGTAAAACTATTTAAGAGTAAACACTTGAAACTGTTCATTAGCTTTCTGTATGTGCTAATTGCTTATTGGCAAAATGTAAGAGCTGGAAGCACTGGGTACTTCTGGTTTTAATAAAACCATTGGTTTTGTCCCTTTTCTGAGCCCATTCTTTTATAATGACTTAGAAATTTAGATTTTTGTTGTCACATGCAGACTGGAGACATCAAAAATGAGTAAGTCTGAAAATACGCGATTCTGCTCTGCCTCCTTTTTGTTCATCTTAGGTACGTGTTGGTGATCCTTACAACTAGCAAAAGCTGTGGTGGAACATAATTTAGCAGGAGTTCTGAACTTCTGGAGTGACCTGTTAATGAAAGGAGTAGTTTTGCTTCTTTTCTGCTCCTGCCTCCTTCCCTGTGCAGCCACCCCTTTCCTAGCTGAACTGGTTCAGCTCAGTGATGTAGTGGAAATCTGCCCCCATCAGCCCAGCTGCTGCTGTGTAACTGTTAAGATCTAACTCTAGGGAAACTGCCATGAGGGGATCTTCACAGGATTGCTGGGTGGTGTGGTTAAGTAGTGCAAGCTTCAGTTGCATGAAATAGGGGAGTTAGTGTAACAGTTCACCAGCACCCAGAGGAAGCTGCTCCTCCCTGTTCTCTGCTATGTGCTCCCACCCTTTGCCTTCAGCTGGTGCTGACAGATTCCTCCATAGGCTGAATGTTGGTGCTAGAGCACCATGGTTTGAATCATTTCACTGAGGCAAATAAGGCTCGATAAAGCAACTGCCAGCTGTCCTGGCTGATGCAAGGAGGCAGGAGATAGAAATAGGACAGGAGGAGATAAAGGCAATGTGGTGAGGAAGAAAATGGGATCTGACTCCTTAATAGTAAGCTGTCACATCAATTCATGTTTGAAAGAGCAAGACTTGAGGGGGTTTTTTTCTGTTAGTAAGTATTAGGTGTTTGGAATGCTAATGTAGCTTTGACAACGTGTGATGGGTGGAGCAGTAAACTATTTTTGATCGTTAATGCACACTGGTTGTATGTTAAAAGACTTAAATTTCAGTAAGGGAGATTTTGGTAGGGGACTGGCAAACAAACCCTTAAACAACAAAGATTGTCAAAGGAAGTTGTAGGCTTTATTTTTAGAGATTTTTATCGAACAGTTTAGGCACACATTCATTTACATAAGGTTGATCATATTTTGAAGAAGGATATTAAAAACACGAAATGCCCCATGGAGGTCCTTACTGCTTAATCCTGCAAGTTGCAGACACACAATGTACTAGAGACCAGCAAAAAGAGAACAATCTACATTTGAAAATGTAGTTTATGGATGCATTGCAGTTTGAGATACAATCACAGAGCTTTTCTGTAGGTAGTTATCCTATAATGGAACATGTTGCGTTCATGTCAATAGCCATGACAAAATAGCGTTTAGAAATTACTGTGTTGTCAAGTGCTAATAAATTATAGACTTCATTTAGCAAGATCCTTTTATAGTTGTCTTTTTGTTAACATCTGCTATGGATGATGTATTTAGATTTGCTTAACCTGGAGACCTTTACCTGTAAGTGCTGAGAGATGGTTGCCACGTTGTTACCTTGTAAACCTGCGGTTAGGCAATGCAATCATTCTGTAAGTAAGCCGTTGATCACGTTATTCCAGGGAGAAAAATCCCAGTAGGAAGATGGACACAGTCTCAGGAATACATGGTATCTTATTGCTGTGACCCTTAATCCATCAACGGCCTTCAGTTTATTTTTAGAGTATTGTGCTTAGCTGAAAAGGCAGATTTTGAATATACCCCGCCTCCCCCAAGCTTTGTGTCATCTTTGTGGCCGGACAAACCCACGCAGCGAGCCCAGGGCCGCGGCAGATACCTGGCCAGGGGCTGGCGGGATTCCGCTGCGGGAGGAGGGCGGGCGGGGGCGAGGGGCCGCGGCTGCGCACGGAGGATGCGCGGTCGCGGACCCGCCGCATCCGCAGAGCCGCGCCGGGAGTGGAAGGTGAGTGCGGGGTTCCCGGGGGCCGGCCCGGCGTGGGGGGCTCTGTGATGCTGCTGAGCTGCCCTGGGGGGTGTGTTACGGTCCAGCTTTTGATGGGCGCAGCTCCGAGGCGCAGGGCGGTGCAGGCTGCGGAGCGGCTGCCCCTGCTCGTCCTTTGGTGGCTTCAGCATTGGTGGTTTCAGCCATTTTTGCCTCGAAGGCGTTTCCAGGTGCTTTGCATGGGGCGTTTGGAGCTGGGGAACATCTTTAGATGTCTGGCGTGGAGAAATCAGGCAGCGGTGTGTGTTTTCGGGAAGACAAGGGGGATTGAGGAAGGGTTTTCCCGTATGTTTCTTTAAGGGATTGAAAGAGATGCGCTTTAATTATTCCGTGATGTGAGGGGAAAAGGAGCTTTCAGAAACAAGCGGTCTGATTAAAATCCAGCCTCTCACAGAGAACAGTAAGTGGTGCTTGGTTTTGTTTTGTTTTCTGTTTCCTAATTAAACTATGATGTGCAGCAATTTAGTGGAAGGGATTCAATGAAACAAGTGAAACCTACCCGCGTCAGGTGGGGAAGATGATGTGTAGGAAGCAGGAAGCATCTTGTCTTAAGGTACAAATAAAACATGCCGGTCGTTCAGCAGTTTCCAGTGATTCATTTCTCAGGCAGTGCAGGAATAGAGCTTGGAAATACAGTTCCTGGCTGAAGAATGCTTTGCTTTTAGCCCAGAGCTTTATAAAATAACGTAATAAACATAGGGGGGAGGGGAAATGTATCCTCATTAAATGAAATGGTGGATCAATTTTGTTTGCAGTCACTGTTAATGAATGTCGTGGGCAAAGGCAGATCAGAAAATTGATTTCTGCAGTTTGCTACTTATTTAAAATGTATCTGTAAGAAGAACCTATGCACTCTATTGCCTCTCCATCCCCCCAGTTTTCAGCTGGCTACATTTTCAGCTGACCCTAGAAGCTGCCAGAGTAAGATGCATAGTAGTAAGATCAGATCATTCCCAGCATGTTACTGGCCTTTTTTTCCACTATAATTTATAATCAAATTCCTCTCTTTTTCACAGGATACAAGTGGCTACGAGAATGACGGCGACCTTGCTTTGTAACATGATATTTCTGCTGGCATTTGGATTGGCTTCAGCTTTTAGCCACAGCCCTAGGACCCCTGACAGGGTTTCTGAAGCAGATATTCAGAGGCTCCTCCATGGGGTTATGGAGCAGTTGGGCATTGCAAGACCCCGGGTAGAATATCCAGCACACCAGGCTATGAATCTAGTTGGTCCACAGAGCATTGAAGGTAGCTAATTTCTACTTTGAATTATGGTTAATTTATTAGTATTCTTTGCTAATAACTATTGTTTTGCACATATATACAGAATATTCTAAGCTTAAATCATGGACTTCTTCACTGTGGTGTTGCCTGATCTTTGGATCATCATCCATTTTTACCTTCCTTAGAGTAATGATTTTGGCAGGAGCAGTGGGTTGGGTTTTTATTTATATATGTGTATATATAAATATACAGGCCTTGTAGAAAAAGTCATGTTGTCTTAGAAGGGTCTGGTGACAAATGTGAGCTACAGAGCCCAATTCTCACAGATTTTTGGAAGCAGTTGCAGGCCAGAAAAGACAAAATGTTTGTGGCGTCATGCGAGGCAAAGTGAGAAACCTTACATGAGGGGTTCTTCCTGCATCCTGCAGAACCCTGTGCAGCTAGCCCTGCATGGGACAGGACCAGTGCTGGAACACACAGCTGCAGCCAGGGGGGAGCTAGGGCTGCAGCTGCCAGGGTGGAGAGGACCAGGCGTTCCTCTCCCTGCATCCACAAGTAGCACCTCAACACTGTGCTGCTGCAACGGATGCTCTGGGCTCAGGTTCATTTTTTTGCCTAGTACTTCTGTTTTCACTGCACATGAGTAAATTTGCCCTGGAATCAGTCTTCTGAAACTATGCAAGCCATCTGAAATATCTGGCTCAGATGTTTAGGATATTAGGATAATTTTGCAATGTATCACTGTTTGAATTGTACCAAACTAGCTTTTAGTCTGGGATTACAGCAAAAGGTTGTAGCTATGCGACTCTAAATACTATCGTTTATGTGCAAACATCAGAACAGAGCAGAAATTCAACAC